AAAATGAAAATTCTGTCGTTAATTACTCGCCCTCGTGTCGTTCCAAACCCGTAAGACCTCCGTTCATCTTCAGAACACAAATGAAGATATTTTTGATGAAATCTGAGAGCTCTCTGACGCTCCCATAGACAGCAGCACAACTGAAATGTTCCCACGTCCAGAAACGTAGCAAGGAGATCGTTAAAATAGTCCATGTGACATCAGTGGTTCATCCGCAATTATACGAAGCTACGAGAATACTTTTTGTGCGCAAAAAAGCAAAACAAAAAAAACACTTTATTCAACAATTCGTCTCCTCCGCGTCACCCTGTAGCGCCATTTTGGAGAATATCAGCTGGATGTAAACAGCGTATGCCGAATCTGTTTCCTACATTGTTGTGATTTGATCTGAACGGAAACATTGTATCTGTGTGCCACAGCTGACACAGAACAGCATACGCTGTTTACATCCAGCTGATATTCTCCAAAATGGCGCTACAGGGAGGAGACGAATTGTTGAATAAAGTGTTTTTTTTGTTTTGCTTTTTTGCGCACAAAAAGTATTCTCGTAGCTTCGTATAATTGCGGATGAACCACTGATGTCACATGGATTATTTTACAGATCTTCTTGCTACGTTTCTGGCCTTGGGAACATTTCAGTTGTGTTGCTGTCTATGGGAGGGTCTGACAGCTCTCAGATTCCATCAAAAATATCTTCATTTGAGTTCTGAAGATGAACAAAGGTCTTACGGGTTTGGAACGACACGAGGGTGAGTAATTAACCACAGAATTTTCATTTTTGGGTGAACTATCCCTTTAACATTTGCTTTCAGTATTGCACTGGGAGTCAAGCATTAGACATCAGCATTTTTCATCTCATAACAGGATGGATTACCTTTGTGTCTTCCTCTTTCCAAAGAATGTCCTGTTCTGCCTCGTTCAGCTCTTCGGTCGGGTCATAAGTGTAAACTGGAAGCAGCTGATGCCGCAGTCTATCAATCCTAAAAGTGCACAGACACACAGGCAGAAAAAGTTGTATTAATTCCTTCCATCATCCACTTACATTGTATGAAAGACAGAGGGACAGGCATTCTGCCTAACATCACCTTCTGTGTTACAAAGAGGAAAACAAAGGCTGTATTTATTAAACACAGTAATACAGTGATATACAATTCTCAATCGTTTTCTAATGTCATTTATTCCTGAGAAGTTTCAGCAGCATTCCTCCAGTCTTCAGTGTCACATGATCCTTCAGAAATCATAATAATATGCTGATTTGCTGCTCAAGATAAATCTCAAATTATAATCAACATTAACGCCAACAACAATAATAATAATAATTATTATTATTATTATTTTGTGTAAATCATGATACAATAGCATTCAATAGTTTGAGGTAAGTATAAGATTAAAAGAAATAAAAACATTTTTTTTATTATTTTACTAATTTTTAATAGTGCTGTCAAACGATTAATCACGATCCAAAATAAAAGTTTTAGTTTACATAATATATGTGTATGTGCTGTGTATATTTATTATGTATATATAAATACACACACACAGTATATATTTTGAAAATATGTACATGCATATGCATTTATATATTTATATTCTTATATTATATATAAATATATTTAATATATAAACACATATTTTTCTTAAACATATGCATGCATGTGTGTGTTTCTATATACATAATAAATATACACAGCACATACAATCAACATTAACGCCAACAACAATAATAATAATAATTATTATTATTATTTTGTGTAAATCATGATACAATAGCATTCAATAGTTTGAGGTAAGTATAAGATTAAAAGAAATAAAAACATTTTTTTTTTTTATTTTACTAATTTTTAATAGTGCTGTCAAACGATTAATCGCGATCCAAAATAAAAGTTTTAGTTTACATAATATATGTGTATGTGCTGTGTATATTTATTATGTATATATAAATACACACACACAGTATATATTTTGAAAATATGTACATGCATATGCATTTATATATTTATATTCTTATATTATATATAAATATATTTAATATATAAACACATATTTTTCTTAAACATATGCATGCATGTGTGTGTTTCTATATACATAATAAATATACACAGCACATACATATATTATGTAAACAAAAACTTTTATTTTGGATGCGATTAATCTCGATTACACTCATTTTTAATGAAAAGAAATGAATACTTTTATTCAGCAAGGGATGCATTAAATTGATCAAAAGTGACAGTAAAGACATTCATAATGTTACAGAAGATTTCAATTTCAAATAAAGGCTGTTTTCTGAACTTTCAATTCATCAAAGAATGCATGGCAGCTAAAATCTGCTTTCAACATTGATGATAATAAGAACCATTATTAATACTTAAGCATAAATAAATATATACATTTGATCATAAAACTGATTTCTGAAGAATCTCGTGACACTGAAGAAGTAATGATGCTGAATATTCAGCTTTGATCACAGCAATCAATCACAATTTACAATATATTCAAATGAGAAAACTTTTCAATTGTAATATTATTTGACAATATTACAATTTTTTCTACATTTTTGATCAAATAAATGCAGCCTTGGTGTGCAAAAGAAATGTATTTCCAAAAAACTGTAATTATTCCAAACATTTGATATCTTTCAAAGAGTGCTGGAGTATGGTTAATTACCTCCGTTTCCTCCTTATGTACATCACCTATAAAACAAGAAGACACATTAGCATTTTACTACAGTAACATAATGCTGGAACACATATAAACCAGTTACACCAATTCATAATGTCTGTAAGGCTACTTCAGCTGTGGAAGTAAGGAAAATGCAGCTGACAAGCATTTTGCGCATGCAGTCAAGACACATTTATAAAAGAATAAAGGCCTTTTGTCTTTAAAGATTTGCTGCTCAATCAAATTACTCCATCATGCGACTTCACATTCTTCCCCAATTGAGCTCACAGACAGACACTGTTAGAATCACCCTGAAGAGACATGCGTGCTACCTAGTCAACACTGTTGATGCGTGCTACCTAGTCAACACGGCTGATGCGTGCTACCTAGTCAACACTGTTGATGCGTGCTACCTAGTCAACACGGCTGATGCGTGCTACCTAGTCAACACTGTTGATGCGTGCTACCTAGTCAACACGGCTGATGCGTGCTACCTAGTCAACACTGTTGATGCGTGCTACCTAGTCAACACGGCTGATGCGTGCTACCTAGTCAACACTGTTGATGCGTGCTACCTAGTCAACACGGCTGATGCGTGCTACCTAGTCAACACTGTTGATGCGTGCTACCTAGTCAACACGGCTGATGCGTGCTACCTAGTCAACACTGTTGATGCGTGCTACCTAGTCAACACGGCTGATGCGTGCTACCTAGTCAACACTGTTGATGCGTGCTACCTAGTCAACACGGCTGATGCGTGCTACCTAGTCAACACTGTTGATGCGTGCTACCTAGTCAACACGGCTGATGCGTGCTACCTAGTCAACACTGTTGATGCGTGCTACCTAGTCAACACGGCTGATGCGTGCTACCTAGTCAACACTGTTGATGCGTGCTACCTAGTCAACACGGCTGATGCGTGCTACCTAGTCAACACTGTTGATGCGTGCTACCTAGTCAACACGGCTGATGCGTGCTACCTAGTCAACACTGTTGATGCGTGCTACCTAGTCAACACGGCTGATGCGTGCTACCTAGTCAACACTGTTGATGCGTGCTACCTAGTCAACACGGCTGATGCGTGCTACCTAGTCAACACTGTTGATGCGTGCTACCTAGTCAACACGGCTGATGCGTGCTACCTAGTCAACACTGTTGATGCGTGCTACCTAGTCAACACGGCTGATGCGTGCTACCTAGTCAACACTGTTGATGCGTGCTACCTAGTCAACACGGCTGATGCGTGCTACCTAGTCAACACTGTTGATGCGTGCTACCTAGTCAACACGGCTGATGCGTGCTACCTAGTCAACACTGTTGATGCGTGCTACCTAGTCAACACGGCTGATGCGTGCTACCTAGTCAACACTGTTGATGCGTGCTACCTAGTCAACACGGCTGATGCGTGCTACCTAGTCAACACTGTTGATGCGTGCTACCTAGTCAACACGGCTGATGCGTGCTACCTAGTCAACACTGTTGATGCGTGCTACCTAGTCAACACGGCTGATGCGTGCTACCTAGTCAACACTGTTGATGCGTGCTACCTAGTCAACACGGCTGATGCGTGCTACCTAGTCAACACTGTTGATGCGTGCTACCTAGTCAACACGGCTGATGCGTGCTACCTAGTCAACACTGTTGATGCGTGCTACCTAGTCAACACGGCTGATGCGTGCTACCTAGTCAACACTGTTGATGCGTGCTACCTAGTCAACACGGCTGATGCGTGCTACCTAGTCAACACTGTTGATGCGTGCTACCTAGTCAACACGGCTGATGCGTGCTACCTAGTCAACACTGTTGATGCGTGCTACCTAGTCAACACGGCTGATGCGTGCTACCTAGTCAACACTGTTGATGCGTGCTACCTAGTCAACACGGCTGATGCGTGCTACCTAGTCAACACTGTTGATGCGTGCTACCTAGTCAACACGGCTGATGCGTGCTACCTAGTCAACACTGTTGATGCGTGCTACCTAGTCAACACGGCTGATGCGTGCTACCTAGTCAACACTGTTGATGCGTGCTACCTAGTCAACACGGCTGATGCGTGCTACCTAGTCAACACTGTTGATGCGTGCTACCTAGTCAACACGGCTGATGCGTGCTACCTAGTCAACACTGTTGATGCGTGCTACCTAGTCAACACGGCTGATGCGTGCTACCTAGTCAACACTGTTGATGCGTGCTACCTAGTCAACACTGCTGATGCGTGCTACCTAGTCAACACTCCTGATGCATGCTACATAGTAAACACTGCTGATGAATGCTACGTTATAAACACTGCTGATGCATTCTACCTATTAAACACTCCTGATGCATGCTACCTAGTAAACACTCCTGATGCATGCTATGTAGTAAACACTGCTGATGCATGCTACGTAGTAAACACGGCTGATGCATGCTACCTAGTAAACACTGCTGATGCATGCTACATAGTAAACACAGCTGATGCATGCTACCTAGTAAACACTCCTGATGCATGCTACCTAGTAAACACTGCTGATGCATGCTACGTAGTAAACACGGCTGATGCATGCTATGTAGTAAACTGCTGATGCATGCTACGTAGTAAACACTCCTGATGCATGCTACCTATTAAACACTGCTGATGCATGCTACGTAGTAAACACTGCTGATGCATGCTACCTAGTAAACACTGCAGATGCATGCTACGTAGTAAACACTCCTGATGCATGCTACGTAGTAAACACTGCTGATGCATGCTACGTAGTAAACACTGCTGATGCATGCTACCTAGTAAACACTCCTGATGCGTGCTACGTAGTAAACACTCCTGATGCATGCTACGTAGTAAACACTCCTGATGCATGCTACGTAGTAAACACTGCTGATGCATGCTACGTAGTAAACACTGCTGCTTTGCTGTTATATATGCCAGCACCTACCACTGCTGCAACAATCCCGAGGGCAGTGATGAGGAAGAAGGGGACCAGCACGTAGCTGACGGCTGCGTCTCCGCTGATGGTGTGAGGGGGGTTAGTGGTGCTGTTCATGGTGTAACACACTCAGACCGGGGCTGTGCTCCTGGCATCTGTTTACTGCTCATCTTCTGCACGCATGTGACTCCCACATGGTCTCTCTGCCTTCATTAATGACTGTCAGATCCAACAGAATACACTTATTTATGGAATAGGACGCAGACAGGAATGCTGGAAAACAACTAGAAAGTGTTAATCATTTTATTTCAGACTTGTGTGCACTTTATTTATTAGATCTCTCATATTAACTTTTTTTTGATAGATTATTTACTTGGGTGTATACTTTCTCTTTTACAACACCTTTTAACTGCGCTGGGTGAATCTCACAAAACAGGTTCAGGTCACAGTTCACTTCCAAATTTAAATTTTTTTTTTTTAATTGTGCCAATTGTTTTACAATAATTCCCCTCTTTAATCTTTATTACCATAATGTTTGGATTATTATTTTTTTAATTATTTCGTTTACTCTCATTACTGTAATGCAGCAATGTTGTAAAACGTACACAGATGTATTATTATTATTATTATTTAAATCTGCATTTAAATCAAAACAGTATTAGTATACCATAATATAGTTTTGTAATTTTAAGTAATATATTATTGCAATAATAAAAGTTTTTAGCATTTAATGAGAATTTTGCAGGCCTATTATGGTTATTCTATGTGTTTGAGCATATAATGCGGTATTGTTTAACGTACCATTTAAATACCACGGTTTATAAATATTATATTCATAATCATATTGTGCCGTCGCACATCAAAGCAGCGTGTTTTCTAAAGCAGTTGACACAACAGGACTGTCATCAGTCATTTAATATACAAACTTATATTTACATTAAGGGAAGATAACATTTTGATTGAATACGTCCAGCCAAGGGCTACTATAAGGAGGAAGCGTCTATGTAGCACACGAGTATGCGGGAGAAAAGCGCATCCAGTGGCATTATCTGCTATCATTTGTCTAGGTTAGTTGCATTACTATGGTGAGCAGTAATGATAGGCTCAATGTCATCATGATCATTATCTGCTGCGTCTGCTGACTCACGTGAAAGCATCATGACCAACCAGTCAAACCTCACCATCGAGCTGTTAAAGCAAACCCACCTGATCAGTCAGAAGAGCCGGAGGAGTGTCACTTCACTATAAGCAGACTCCAAATCCAGTTATTATAACACAAGTCCTGAGTCTGACATTAAAGCTCCACTGTCGGTGTTTACGGAAAGCAAGTCCTGCAGTGAAAACGAAACGACGATGTGGAGCTGGAGGAGGAGCTACACTGTTCCCAATGAACGCTACGAACAGCAGATGTCACCACTGCATTATCATATCACAATATATCATACCACAATATATCACATCATATCATAATATATCCTATCATATCATAATATATCAATAATATCATATCACAATATATAATATATCATAATTTATCAATCATAATATATCATATCACAATATATAATATATCATAATTTATCAATCATAATATATCATATCACATCATAATATATTATCATAACATATTATATCACAATATATCACATCATATCATAGTATATCAATAATATAATATCAATCATAATATATCATATCACAATATATAATATCATAATATATAATATCATAATATATCACATCATATCACAATATATATCACATCATATCACAATATATCATATCACAATATATCACATCATGTCACAATATATAATCTCATAATATATCATATCATATCAATAATAATATATCATATCACAATATATAATATCATATATCAATAATAATCACAATATATCACATCATATATCATACCACAATATATAATATCATATCACAATATATAATATATCATAATTTATCAATCATAATATATCATATCACAATATATCACAATATATCACATCATAATATATCACATCACACATCACACTATATCACATCATATCACAATATATCACATCATATCACAATATATCACATCATATCACAATACATCACACTATATCACATCATATCACAATATATCACATCATATCACAATACATCACACTATATCACATCATATCACAATATATCACATCATATCACAATACATCACACTATATCACATCATATCACAATATATCACATCATAATATATCATATCACAATATATCACATCATATATCAATCATAATATATCATATCACAATATATAATATCATAATATATCATATCACAATATATCACATCATATATCAATCATAATATATCATATCACAATATATCACATCAAATATCATATCACAATATATAATATCATAATTTATCAATCATAATATATCATATCACAATATATAGTATATCATAATTTATCAATCATAATATATCATATCACAATATATAATATCATAATATATCATATCACAATATATCATATAATATATCACATCATATCACAATATATCACATCATATCACAATATATCACATCATATAACAATATATCACATCACATCATATCACAATACATCACATCATAATTTATCATATCACATCATATCACAATATATCACATCATAATATATCATATCACAATATATCACATCATATCACAATATATCACATCATAATATATCACATCATATCACAATATATCACATCATAATATATCATATCATAATATATCAT